GGGGGGGGGAAGGGGGAGCGATTTGGGCGATTTTTGTTCTTTCCCCCGTTCGTCACTACATCGGAAGTCCCACTCTTCTCCCTCTCGCGTTGGATCCGCCAGTGAAGGATTAGTTTCTGTACGTTTTGTTCATTTATCTCGGTGGTAAAGTGATATTGCCATTTATTGCAAGTAAAATCCCATCAGCTTATTTTCATATATTCTCGTAGGATGGGCAGTCATCGGGTGATTATTACATTACTTGCGCTGGGAACTCCACACCGATTGTTCGAACAGTCTTAGTGTTTTTGTTCGCCAAACAGTAAGAGCCATATAAAAAATTTCAGATGTGACAAATCCATCCTATAATTGGGTTCCGATGATGCAAAAAGCAGTAAATACAATATTTTACGTAGCCGCAAAGCCGTCGCTTTGCTGCCGTCTTATTGCCAGTGGCTTGGTGCATGAAATGAAGCGTTGTCTTGCGCAATATTTTCTTGCGAAACGAGAAATTGAAGGAATTGAACCGATCAACTTCGAGTGAGTTTTTTTGATCTAACTCTCTTATACGATCGTTTTTTGGCAGTTTTTTTTTTTTTGCACTCAGAATCAAACTGCAAAACTCAAATTGTCCCTTAAACAGCTCTCAAGAGGAATTCATCTACTGGTAGTTTTACCAACGTGTGGTTGCTTTTGGCAGAAAACTATCACCGGGGTTACTTTCAAGTTCCTCTGCCTGATAAAAAGTGAAATAGAAAAGTTTTTGGCTAATGTTTTTGTGTTTGAAGTGTGCCAGTCTGACTTTGCGGTATGAGCACGTTAAAAAAATGCAGCTCACAAGTTTCTTTTTTTGATCTTGACAAAAACTGCAGTAATCTAATGCAAATCGTGATAGAGAGGTACAAATGCTGTTAGTAATTAAGTGCTGGTGAACACAACACAGTAGTAAGTAGGGGTGCTATGGTGTTTGAGATCGAAAATCCGCTTTTGCTAGTGCGATGACCGGTCGTTGTACGATTCTTTCATTCACTTCGATGGTAAATTGGTACTGGTGTTTTCCGGGAAGTCAAGCATGCCATCAGCTTGCTTCTAAAAACCCCTAAAAAAGTAGCTCTAGTTTTTAAGTAATTCTTTGTCTTCTAAATAATTCTTTGTCTTACAGTTGACACTTACTACCACTCGCGCTATTTTTAAGTGCTTACACCCTTTAAAGAATGAATACGAAATGTTTCGACTCAGATAGCGTCGTATTTTTTTTTTCAGAAATCCACCAAACAGTGCAGATGTTGACGAGTTTGGAGACTTGCTGGCGTTGAGCAAAGAAACATTCAAAGACTGCAGCGAAGCGGAAGATGAAGATCAGCCGGATGATGAACCGCCAGCAGCCGGGCTTGTGAGTGAGAGCTGCCTGGTGAAAATGAAGGAGGAGGTGATGGATTTGCTGAATAAGGATAAAGAGCAGTGCATGACTGTTTGGGAAACAGTGGCCGAAAGAGTATGCGCATTTGCAGGACAGGTGAGCTTTGTTTTTTCATAGAAAACTTCTTATCTAACAGTTCTTGGGCAGAAATGCATGATTAATAAAGATTGATATTGTCACAGTGTTGAGTTGAAGCGTATATGACTTAATGGACCGTAACATCTTATCTCATTCTTATTTCCTTGTACTGTTAACTATCTTCTTTGAATACTTAAGCTTCCCGAGTCAGCCTGGTTGTTACAATTTGCTTATTATTATTGCAATAACTGCAATAGAGATTAACACAAATGTCGGATAGGAAAAGTCCCGTAAAGCGTGGACTTGGCTTAAAAGTTTGATATCAGTGAAATATAACTTACGTACCAGACCTACTGTGCTAGGTTATTTAATATGGTATTTTTAATAGCGTAGGCAGTTTGTCGACAGTTTAGCACTTTTAATTTATAAAATTTAATGGTAAAGACCCCTTTTGGCTGAGTAAATTCTCGAAGATGCTACTATTGTTTGGGGCTTCTAGTGGTTGAGTCATCGTTTCAATTACCTAAATTCTGTGTTTCTGGGATTTTCAAGAGTTCAGTGGTCTAAGACATGTTTTTAGCTCATTAAATTCTTTACGAATTGCGGCATGCTCACTGAACTCTTCGATTTAGTGATTTTACCTTACTTTTATCAGCTTTTGTTTCATCGCTGCTTTCTTTTCGCCATTAAATGCAACTTGCAGTTTTCCTGTTCTTCTTTGTTTTGGGCTTTTTAATCCATATAACAACGCATCGGCGTTTATGCGGATCTTTTTACCGCATCGGCTGCCTCTTCTCATCCCCCTCTCTCTCCCTCGTCCTCCTCCTTCTGCTCCGCCCTGCGTTATTTTAGCACTGCTTAATGCTAAAATCGTGCCTATCACGAACATCCTCTGCTTTGGTTACATGT